CTTTAGCTTTCGACTGAAAAGTTTAAACTCTGACGCGAACTTTAAAGCCTGCACGAGTAACAACTAGCTCTCTTGCTTTTTCGTCAGAAGAAGAGTATCTAACCGTTCCCTACCAAATCCTACCAACGTAGCTACTCAAAATTCAAAACACTCTTACTCCTTTCAACCAATTTTACTAGTTTCATTTTAAATTAGAGAAATGTGAGTAAATACTTCGCATACGTTGCGGTTGTACAAATGTGTTTGCCTTCGCGATTCCATAATATTATTTTCTAAAGATTCAATTTTATTCTCCTTCTTTTTCTTTCTCTCTCTCTCTCTCACACACACACACAAACATACACACGCTATCTCAATCTTTCTTTATCCGAGCTCATCTCGAAAATAATGGAACGATTATTTATTGTTTTAGGTACGTTACGATTGTACAAATGTGTTTTATCTTTGCTATTCCAAAATATTATAATCCAAAAGACCTGAATTTTATTTTTCTTCTATCTTACTGTTTATCTTCGTTTTAACCGAGCTCATCTAGAAGATAATCGAGTGATTATTTGTCGCGGCACGAGTAATTATCCATCTTCTTCATCTTTTAAAGAGGACAAAGATTTCGTCGAAACTTCCATCAAACTTTTCCTATCGATTTCACCGTTATAGACGATCTTTCAAAACGAACGACAGCTCGCAAATGGAGAACTTGATGGATGATCCCCGAGGGTTGTTATAATTATTCGATATTTACGTTAGTTCGATGTGTATTTCCCTACGAAATTAGTGCAACGATTCTTTGATAATTTCAATAAACTAATAATCGTGTTGTTCTTGATAATAAAATAAATATACGCGAGCATTATTCGCGTTTGCACAAACGTTTACATTATTCTTCGAACGAATGGAAAAACATAGCGACAAATAAAATGGCTAATGTTAAGTACATACACTTTAATAATGAATACCAGAAAAACGCGAAAGACACTTTCTTTCGTTTATTCAACTCTGTTGTTTCTCGTTGTGCTACTATTACGCGTACATTTTCTACATTCTCTCAATAACTTGTTGAGTACGCAAAAAAGAAGTGACGTCATCATAATCCAATAAAAAAAAAAAGAATAAATTCGCGTAAATTGAATTAATTTAAGTCCATCCAAATATCGGACTAAAGTTTGTCCATTCGAAAACACGACGACAAAAATGACATTTTAAACGTGTTAGCGTGCGTCTGGATTTTTAAACCGTATACACACTAGCTGAAATTAAATTATATAGTCTAAAATAAAAAAAAAAAATAATGCAGAAAATGATTAGAACGAAAATTGTACGAACGAAATGACGAGAGAAACGAACCGATAAAAATTCACGCTTGGTATAAATATGATGCTTTTTCTTTCTCTATCTATCTATCTCTCTCTTTCATTCTCTCTGTCTCACTATCCAGGAAGATAAATTGCAGGACGTTACGTGACAAAAGCCACGATGCGAAAGTACGTTTTTCGTTGGAACGTAGGTGAGCCTCGGTAGTGAAAGCACTCCTAATGACTTGCTACGGAAACAAAAACAACACGAGGGCTCGGAGCTTTTACCGCGACAGATCCTCATAAAAGTTTCCGTCCACGAGGGACAACAACTTCCCTTTTAGCAGCTTCGATCGGGCTGTTTGGCCGTGTTTAATTACGTCGATTAAAGCGTCCCGTGTCACCGCAAAGCGGTTCTCATGAACATCGACCATGGACCTATCTTTGTCCCTCGAGGAAGGAAACCAGTATTTGACCTTATCTCTGTATGTCTGTCTCTCCCTACCACCACCCCTAAGTCCCCCCCTGCTCACTCTTTTTCTAGTCTAGCAGAAACCCTAATACAAGGAGCCAGCCAGGGCTGCACGTGATAGGTCAATCGGTTCGTAGAATCAAACTCTCTGATCGACATCGAAGAACCAACCTGCCGTGCACGTTTCTACCATCGAAAATTCTTTCTCTCTCTCTATCTTCCTATCCTCGTCTCCCAACTATCGATTCACGTGTTCATCGGTGTCCACACTCGACCGATTTGGCCGAAATCCCTACTTGCGTTCTAAATCGAGAAAATGATGGTCCCCCTAGTACGAGACCACCCAATCGCTTCTCCGCACCTTTCTCTTTTTATTTTTCTTTATTTCTTGGGTTTTTTTTTCTTTTCTTTTTTTCTCCTCGTCCTCGAAAAAAATGAAAAAGAAAATTGTAATTCTTTAAGCGATAAGAATGAAGAAAATCCCTGGATAGAAAATAAAAATAAGTCGATCGAGTTTATCGATTAACTATTACCGTCGATTTCAAAAGTTCACAACGAGTGGTTCCACGCGAAAGACCGAAATCGTTTCGAGAAAGGAACGTTCGAAATTCTAAAAGTTGGATATCCTCATTGACCGACAAAGAACGTCGCTCGAGTGCACCGATTTAGCCGAACGACCACTCTTTCCTCTCTCTCCCTTCTCATCCCTCTTTCTCTTTCTCTTTCTCTCTCTTTCTATTCTTACACGCTTCATCGGACTCAAAAGTTTCGGCATAATTTGCTTCCTTCCATATACGATATGGGTAAGCTTGTATTTTTTCCAAAAAAAAAAAAGAAAAAACGACGATTGACGTGACAACGATCAAGATTTATTACAAGTAATCAGCATTCACCGATGACTGAACGATTGATCGAACAAATTTGACGTGAAGGAAAAATAAAAAAAGTATGAAAGGAAAGAGAGAGATGAAACCTTAATGATAAAAAAGAAGAAACCTTTCAGATTTTCGTACGAATGTATTGTATTAGATAAAAAAAAGAATGAAGGAAGGAAAAAAAATGAAAAGTTAGGTTGATTTGTCAAAGTTTGAAACGATCGTAGCTGGAGTAGTCAATTGAAACTCTTGTCTCTATTCCCCTCGCGTAGGACGCAAAGCGTGAATTTAAACGAGATGAATCACGACCGATTCGAATACTGGAGAAGGGAAATAGGGGGTTGGTCCATTCCCTTTTTGTAATCATAATCAATCGATCTCTTCTAATTCGAGCAATCTCATTAGTTTCGAACGATCGACGTCGAGCACGTATAGATAGATAGATAGAACCTGATCAAAGGGTAAATCCCGACGAATTTCCTAACTGACTCTGATCATCGTTAAATCAGGATTATCCACTCGAAATGCATGAAGGACGTTGCTCGATCGTTAACGAATGGAAGATTCATTTCGCGGCTAATCAACGTTTCAAGGATGAGCCAAGAAACGAAAACGGAACATGGAATATCTTAAATGTTCGATGACCCAGCATAGTCATTTTGGGAATGGAACGAATCTAACCAAAACCAACTTGCTCTTCAATCGAGAACTAGTCGCCCTTCTTGTCTTTTCTCTACCCCTCTCTCTCACTCACTCACTCTTTCTCTTTTACTCTCTTTCCTTCTCTCTAGACATTCTGATCCGGATTTCAACTTTCCCCTATCTACCGAGATACGCTCGAGTTTCATTTCGAAAGACGTTTCCTCTATCTCCGACCGCAGCAGCAGCAGCATCATGGACTATTTTCACTTTGATAGGGCCAAGGGTTAGTCGTAAAAGGAACGAAATTTTGTAACGTTTAATCGAATATCTTAAACGAACGAATTCATTTATTTTAAATAAGGACTAAAGTTTCTTTCATTTTCTGTAATGAATTTTTCTATAAGAAATCGGTAAATAATTTAGAAATCATCTGCATCCTTTGAAATAATTGCACGCTACTAGATAAACGTGTTATCGATTATACCTCTTTCTCTTTCACCTCCTCCTTATTCTCTCTCTCTCTCTCTCTCTCTCTCTCTCTATTCTATAGAAACTATATCTCTGAACTTAGTATGTTCTAAACGTCTAACCGCGTAGGTACTTATAGTATAGAGCAAGGAGAGTTAGAACTCTCCTTATTGGTAGTAAAAGGGCACGTTTAGGGCGGACAACCGTGAACCGGCACGCCTTGCTAACAAAGTTTCTCCTAAAATGTCCGATCAAGACTATCCATTTCCTTACTTAACTTAACATCGTGTACATGCATACTTCGATGAATATAGTACCACGAGCGAAGGTTAGGTTAAGGATTAAAGTCGAGAAATGTATACGTTGGTATAACCGGAAATTCTCTTATGTCCTTGTGCATCGTTTTATGTCAAACACAGAGGACACGCATAAATGCATACACGTTTTACCAAGATAGAAAGCAGCAACGTTACATGGGAAAAACCAAGGACGTCTGTTCGAGGTCCACCGGAAATTATTTCATTTCCGATAGTCTTTATTTTTTCGCCATTTTTCCTTCACCGAACTTCTACCTTCTTCTACACTTTTTCTAATACAGTTAGATGTACTCGCAAAGTCAGCACGGTTTCTTTCATTTTTTAAAGTACACGTAGAGACAAAATCTTATTCTCCCAGTTCCTTTCTCTCTTTTCCTCTCTCTCTTGAGAAATAAAACCAAAGAAAAATATGTTTGGATCTGTGAAATGCGAGTGTCCTACTAAATTTATTCCATTAATTTTTAAACTCCGTATTATCTAGACGATTTCAACAAGTTCCTTTTTTATTTTTCGAATCTCAATAACATACGTTAAGCTTTACGATACTACCGATCGGTAATTTCGATGAAAGTTCTATGAACTCAGGTTTTTCTTTACGATTTCGCAAACGTTTTATTCGGTCTTTTAAAACACGTTCCAAGTGTATAATACGGGAAGTATAATAAACCCTTATACAAGATTACTATGATATATATTTTCAAGAGAAACATCAAATCTATGAAATAAAAAGATTAATAAAAAGAGAAATATCATTTATATCTTTAAAAATGAATTTTTCTCACGTACAAAAGAGTCTAATAACATTGACTTTCGAAATGACAACTCGTGGAAGAAAAAGTTTTATTGAGAAAATGAAGAAAAACTTAATGAAGCTCTCTCTCTTTCTTTCTCTTTCTCTTTCTCTACGATTTCTTTTCTTTATGATTATTTACAGAGATGTGAGGAATGATCACGTGGGTGATGGTCGGGCTGCTCCTGGCTGCGGAAACTTGCGGCAGAAACGTCCAATCTGGAAACGGGAAGGAGGAGACGAAACAGAAGAACGGCCTGAAGGGAATAGCCACGGATGAGGAGGACATCTATCGTAAGTATATATACATGTACATATATATTGTATATTACATAAATACATATGTACCATATACCGAAAAGAACCTTAAAACAAGTGGAGGGAGAAAAGAAGTAGCTTGCTTCGAAGAAAAGTTCAACTCTCCTCCCTTCGAAACTCTCGAAGAAAATACTGAAAAGGGGTGGGTATAACGGATCTATGATTTGTTCGAGTGGTTCAAGTTTATCCTTTTGATCGGGACCCACTAATCCGCGTACCATACACTTCATATACAACCTTCTACACACACAAATCTTTATTTCTTTAAATATATAAATAAATAAATAAATAAATATAAATATATATATATATATATATATGTGCACCATTAAAAATGTTTTATTCGATCGTAAAGAATAGGACGTCATAGTTCGGAAAAATGTTGAGTTCCAAAGTTCGTGTTCCAATTCTATTTGAAAGAAGAACACGCTTCTTCTCCGAACTCTAGTTTGCCTGTCGACTTTATATTATCGAAAGTTCGAGGTTCGTAACAAAGGATTGATCGTCGAAGGAAAATCGAGACGGTGGAAGAGAAACGATCGAATCAATGGCGATAGCACAACTCTCGTCGTTCTAAACTCAACTCCAAACCGAGAGTTTAGAGTTTTGTGAAATTCTACTATTTGCTTCGAACGATCCTATACGATAGGATAGATAGATAGATATATATGTGATCCTCTTTTTTATCCCCGTTGAGCGTTAGTTACGAGAGGATTAAAAAAAGCTCCAACGCACGAGAATAACACGACGGAATCGATCACGATTCCTGAAAACTCAACGACCAGGTGTGATGTATCAAATTAATAACTGATATATACATATAACTATATATATATATATATGTGTATGTGAACGCTGATGCGTAAAACTAATTATTCAGTTATCGAGTAAATAGATTTAGAAGTTAGATGGATTTCATTTTTTCTCCATTTCAGAAAAATTTGTTTTTTTTTTTAAATTTTTAACTATTAATTTTCATGTTTTTTTTGCTTGTATGAAATTACGATGCGCGAGGAGATATATTTTTCATTTTTATTTTAAAACGACACAAAAGAGGAAATAGATACTTTTAATTAAATTTATAATTGTACTAATAATTATGACAAGTGTGAACAGATTATAAGTCACAGTATGGAAACAAATTAAATATAGACAATTTATATTGTATATTATAAAATAAATCATTAAATCAATTAGTATTATTTTTCAAGATAATCCACTGTCATAATTACCGAAGTAATTATTCACGACTCAATATATATATATGTATAAATATATGCATACACGTGAAATGTGAACACAGATTTAATAAATTAATTATTTAATTGTTAAATAGATAATTTTTGAAATCATATATAGATTTTAATATATCTCTTATTGAAGAGAAAAAAATATAAAAACTAATATTCAATATTCTTCTACGATCAAATTCATAAGATAGAAAAGAACAACGTATATGTTAGAAAAGAAATGATCTAACAAATACATCCTCATGGTGGATCTCTTTTTCATTGTTTCAGGTCTAACGTGCTACACTTGCGTCAACGTCAGCGACAACCAGGTATCGAATCGACGAGTCCATTAAACTCTCCTTTAAAAGTCCCTAATACCTCGATTGTGTGCCAGCTTGGAGGCACAATTTCGTCCAAATCGGAGGATAGTTGTGGCATCGATTTCGACTTCTTTTAAACTCTTTTCTTCATTCCTTTTCCTTCCAAAGCTCTCCTCTCTCTCTCCCTCCCTCTCACTCTTTCTTTATCTTTCTCATTTATCTATCTATCTTTCCCTCTCGCCATTTCGTTCAAGTTGTCTCAAGAGAGAATTGCCAATATCGGTCCAGTTGGCGATTTTTCTATCGCCGATCGAAAACACGAAATTATAGCCGAGTAGATTGCAACGAGTGCTTTGGTCGGGGGTAGAATAAATTCTGCGCACGTCGGTATACACAAGCCTTTCCGGTTCCGAAAAAACTCAACGCCAAAAAATATACTTTCAAATACATAGATAACGCATATACACACACACATTTATATATATATATATATATATATATATATACGCAAAAGAGTAGTAACGTATTTATATATATATATAGAAATATATAGTTCGGTCCATTACCGTCCAAGCCTTGCTTAAATTATTGTCTCATTGAATATTCTATTCGGACGTACCATTCAGAAAACACAAAAGAGCTGGTCTAGTCGTCGCGTACTTGCCTACTACGGACCGTTTCTTCCTTTGCACCGTGCGATTCTTCACTTTCGTTCTTTCGCATAATATTTCATCAAAGTAAGAAAAAAAAAATAAAATAAAATAAAAAATAAAATAAAATAGAAAAGTAAAAGGAATTAAAAAATAGAAAAAGAAAAAGGAGACGAGGAACGAGAGATATGAATAATTAAAAAAGGATTTTAAGAAGTTTCCGAGCATCCTGAGAATATCTCTTTTTTCTTTTTGGCTTTCTTTCTTTCTTTCTTTCTTTCTCTCTCTTTTCAATTTTTATTATTATTATTATTATTAATATCATTAAAGTTTTTACCATTTGCAAGTATTTAGATAGTTGCGATGAAAAGGTACTGAATAATAAAAAGAGCAAAACTTTAACCCTTTCGTTACTAACGATCCGTATACGATTTGTTCGTGCAAAAGTTTCACCGATTCCATACAGAAATCTCGTGTCATGTATAAACTAATTTATATAGAAAACATTGCGGGGGAACGTATTAATTAAATATATTATTAGTCGCGATATACCTCGTTTCATCTAACTATTCTTCTTTTCTGTGTGTGTGTGTGTTTTTTCTCTCTCTAATAGATTTTTAATACTCATTATTTCTCCACAGATGTGCAACGAATGGGCGATAGATACGCCATGTCCGGCAGGCGACCGTGACTTCTGCCGATCCCTGCACATTTTGGATAGCCGAGGGAACAGCGTCTTGGCAAGCAAATTTCATTTTCTACTTGAGACCCTATCAAACTTATTTTATTTCCACTCGTAATACTTTAAATGACAATGTCACTTTCGAAATGGTCGAAACGTTACATATCACGTTCTTGCTAATACGTTATTTTTAATATTTTCATCGATCAATTGATTATTTCCATTTTTCTTTCAACTCTTTCTCATTCTCTCAATTTCTTTATCTTCATCTATTTATCTTTCGAATCAATTTACCCTTACTTTCTCACAGACATTTCTTTAAATTGTTTCGACCGCCTTAAAAACTCTCCCCAAAGTTAAAAGTTAACGATTAACAAAATCCCATTACATTGCCCTGCCGCAAATTATACGAATGGGTCGTTTAAAAGTTATCCCACGAAATAAGAGCAACTTATTTCAATCCCTCTGAAAACTTTTCTGCCGCAGGTGAGCAAAAGCTGTGCGAGTAGTGCGGAATGTGGCCCATCCTCCGTCGGTTGTATTCCAGTGGACACGCAGCAGGTGGGGAAAAAATACGCGAGAGATAGGAAAAAAAGAAAAAAAAAAAAAAGAAAATTATTGTAAATTCGATGAATTTTTCATTCCTTACAGATCTGCATAAGTTGCTGCGATTTGAGCTACTGCAACGTCGAGTCCCCAACAAACGCGACGAATGCGATTTATTCGCGCAAACGACGGGCCAAACCGAAAACGAAACGCAAACGACCCGGTAGAAACGGAGTCGATGGTACGGACTCAAGGTTTTACGGATCCGGAGTGTTCTGGCTCTTAGCCTCGATCTTCTATGCATATCATTGCTGAGAAAGGATGAAAGGGAGAGAGAGAGAGAGAGAGAGAGAGAGAGAAAACATCGACTCGGGCCAACTTGCAATCTCAAAGTCTCTCTTTGATTATCTTCCATTAAAAACGGAGAGGAAGATTAAGGAATGCGTATGAGCGTATGAATATCTTCCTTTTCTAGGGTGGGGGGTGGGGAGGGGTTTCGGGGGTTAAAGAAAAACAAAAAAAATAGATTCTCTCATCGTCGTCATCCTTTTCCTCGGATTACGCGCAGACGTTTGCGAAAATTCCTCGCCGAAATATTCTGAGAGGATGGTTCTTTTCTTCTTTTTTTCTTTTTTTTTGTGGGTTTCGGTAGAAAATATTAAATAAAATAAAATCAAATCAAATCAAATCAAATAATATATATGTATATATTATATATACATATAAAAAAAGAATAAAAAAAAAAAAAAAGAAAAAACGAGACACGCATACTGACACGCAAACCTCTTCGTGTACTTACACATATCCCAGAGACACGAATTTTTTTCGTGCGCGACGGTCCATCGCGAGCGCGAATTTAAGCTCGCTCGATGTGTTCACATCGCCCCTTATATATTTATACATAATATTATATTATATACATATTGAATATATTATATATATATATATATATATATATATATATATATACGTGTCTAATAGCATACGTATATATGTATATACGTAAACAAAAAAAAAAAAAAAATGGCTCCTAAACAATTCTCTACGATCACGATATATGTCGTACGCTTCGATATATCGTACGGTCCAATTTTCCTGTGCTTCGTCTTTCCCCTCCACCCTACCCCTTCATCCCCCTTTTTCAAGAGAACATACATATATATATCTATACACTTATACAAAGAAAGACACACGTATTAAACCTACACGTATTCTCAAAGAAAGACTTCTTTTCGTCGAGCGAACAAAGAACGTCGATTTTCGCTAGAAAATTATGCGAAGGAGACGATCTTCTATCTATTATTATGCTCCTCCAATGTCCGAATATGTATACTACGATAAAGAAGCCTGCTCTGGCTATCCTTAATTTTCTACTTTACTCGTGAGAGGAATATGAAAGAAGGAAAGAAAAGAAAGAGACAGAAGGTGATTAAAAAGAAAAAAAAAAGAAGGGGGGAAGGAGAGTACGTAAGAAAAAAGAAATCTCTCTGAATATTTCGCGATATTGATCGAGGATAATTAAACAAAAAAAAAAAAAAAGGAAAAAAAATCAAAGCAAACAACACTTCACAACTCGTTTAGTATTAATTTAGAGATTAAAGATATATATATATATATCGGATACGAGGATTATTGAGATTCGATCTCGAGAAGATCATCGTCGTGTCGTAGTTAAAAAGAAAAAAAATTAAATAATTCGGCACCGTAATTGTGTGTCGCGGTGATGAAAAAAGGAATTGTTTCATTCTCATAGTATCGTAGTTACCATGCCTTGTTAGAAGGAGATAAGATATAATTAAACGAAAAGAAAGACAAAGAAAAGTTTTGTGCAATGTGAGAGGAGAGAGACAGACAAAATTACAACATTAAAATAAACTACATTCGCGTATGCTATAATCTCATACATTATTCGTATATTATACAAAGATTAAAATATATAATTAAGCACGATTTAAATAAATAAATCAAAGGATCTTCCTCTCGATGGTTCCAATCTCGACTTAAAGAAAATATAAAAAATAAAAAGAACTCGAAAAAGGAGGAAGATAAAGAGAGAGAGTCAGAGAAGAGAGAGAGAGAGAGAGAGAGAGAGAGAGAGAGAGAGAGGGAAAGAGAGGAAGAAGAAATAGGAGAATCAGAACGTTAATTTTCGAGGGCGCACCAAAAAAAAAAAAATAGGAGAAGAAAAAATACGTTCCTTTCTTGTCGCAAGAACCATTAAGTGCTGATTATCTCGTCCGTTCTCTAGCAAATGATAAAATTAAAATTCACGGTGGCACCGGTGGAGAATGGAAAGTTTTTTCTCCCTTTCCTCACTAACCGACTCTTCTTCCTCTTCGGTCCAACCCTTAAAGCAATTTCTTTTTTCTCCCAGCGCGAAGAGATTATCCACTAACCCGTTTAATCTGTCCTATCCAAAGAGCATGTACCTTTTCCTTTTCATCCTCCCTACCTTCCTTCATTTCTGCTATCCTCGCACGAGGATAAAATGCAAAAAAATATAATGCATTCTGTATGTCCCTGCTGACTCGTTTGAGCTTTCGCTACCTGCGAACCAGAGCTACGTGTACCAGGATCATCGATCCTTATCCTCGAAGCGACTGTTCAATTTTGTCCACGATCTTTCACGGTACGTCCTGGAAATCGAGGTTAATCTTTGAGATAAGATCAAAATCTTACTTTACGTTTTTACGGACCACGCGCGAGTACCGTTGCTGTACCATTGTTGCTGTTATTGTTGCTGCTGCTGCTGCTGCTGATGATGATGATGATGACGATGATGATGATGATGATATTGATGCTGATACCGCTGTGTTGCTCTATTTCTTCTATTCTCTAACGCGTGCATATACGAACAATGCGAAGCTCAAGGGACTCGAGAGATTTCCTTAAATCCTAAGTGACTGTCAAACCGAGAGAAAGATTAAACGCGCTTATCCTTTAACGCAATATAATCGATCGAACGTTGAGCTTCGTTAATCGAGATATCTATACAAACTATGTTGCATGTATCGAGGATCGACAGCGCACTTTGCGACGATGGAATTTCAATGAAAGATAAACCGAAATGATGCGTACCTAAAACTTGTTTACATACCTACAGACTCGCCTATTACAGACTACTTATTGCTATAAACGATTATTAACAATTATATACATATATTCATATATTGTTTATATATATGCATATATATGTATATAATTTATATATATATATTATGATATAGACACTATACATTGTTTCGGCATGATGTAAGAATACTGTTGGTAATGAAATAAAAAAAAAGATATACTTGTCATATTTTGTTCATATTCCTTCTCGTTTTTGCAGAAATTCAAATCAATATAAAAATTCTTAGAAATTTGCGTTACCCTGGCTTCACCCTCAAAAATACAACAGACAATCTGTAAAATCCTCAAACCATTCAGTCTTTTATCAACATTAATATTCCTATCCAATTAGGAACCAATTCTGCGTCTTCTGAACAAGAATTTGCTACACGAAGAAGTTAATGCACTAAAAATTAGGGATTGGAATAATTCGAAAAGAAAGATTCGGAAATGAAATCAGATGTTAACATTTTCTCTGTTGAATCCTGCAATAATTAGTAATTAGTATTAGTTAATAAGTCGGACATGAATAAATGCAACGACTTGATCAAAACAGACCAAACATTTGCTCACGTCACTAGACGTAACACTAATAAACTTAATACTCCATGTTAACTACTAGAAATTTCAGATAAAAGCATGTATGAACTAATCGGATATACGGTGACACGATGAAATCCCTTTATTAAGAGGTGTGAGAAATTCTTCCTGTGGAAAACCAAAGCTCTCACGTAGACCACCGAGTTTACACTTGTTTCATCTTTTTTTCGTTGGTCAAAAGTTTTCTCGGACTTTCCACTACCCTGGTTTCATTTATATATACACGTATATATATATACAGTAAAAGTAGAGTGTGCAACGAAATAAATTAGTTAAATGAATTTTAGTTAGAAACTAGTTCTACGTGGATAAACGCATTTTTGCATATATCGTCGTGTCTTCCTCCTAACGTTCTTCCAAATTATTCATCTGGCGAACCATGAAAACGAATTACTTTACGTTGATCACATTTACTATTGTAAGTATACTCCATATTTATTCAATGATTTATATACGAGTTCGTTAAATAAGTGTTGATGATTAAATTAGTTGGAAAGATTAAACGAAAGATTAATTTTTTAAATTAAATGACAGAGACGGAATTCGTTTAATTAAATGATCAAAGCTAAATTACTAAAACTAATAGGTTCAAAAGAGATTTTTCAAACCTAACGCGATGGAGGTTAAATTTCTTTAATTAAAATTTAAAACTATATTCTTCAAACTAATTGTTAAACGCTATATTTTAAAACTAAATAATGAACGTTAAATTTTTAAAATAAAATGTTGAAAACAAATTTTTTCAACTAAACGATAAATTTCTAAAACTAAAGAAATTAAAATTACAAAATAATTAAATGTTGCTACAAAAGTTGCATTATAGAAAAAATATATTCTAAACATACCTAATATTGATGTACCTTTTGAATAACGCGATAGTGATCAAATCTCCGAAAATTTGCAATGCTTTGTATTTCCAGTTCCAAGTCTTCTTCACCTTTAGAATAGTAGACACAGCAATATTCTAATTTTGAAATCATCGTTAATTAATATTCATTAGTTTATTGATTACTTATCTATTGAATTATTTTTATCATTTTACGTTCAAATACAATTTATTATCATGGATTTACGTAAATTAAAAAAAGTACTACCAATTATAAATCATAATCTATGATTTTTACGTTAAATAATAATTAATAATTTAACATAAGCTAATATAAGATTAAAAAATTTACTTTCTTTCTTATAAAACACATATAGTAATTGAATATTCATTAAAATCACCATTTTGTTAAACTTTTCCCTCCATTACTGACCAATTACTTCACTAATTTGAAATAGCAGGTGCGTATCAAGCATTTTCATTTTTAAGGACTTTGAACTTATCTTCTTATTGGCTGAAGAGCGAAAAATGACGGTCGCTTATTGGCCAATAAATATTCCTATCTTTCTTGTCGTTCAATAATTTCCAATTTTACTGGAGCGAAATTTTCATGCTTACAAATTTATTTCATAAATTATTATTTATTATTCTATAATTACCCTGCTCTCAGTATAAAATATAATAAAATATTCATAATAGAAGTTTATATAGTAATGATCCTAATAATTATAATGTTAATATGTTTTTTGCATAAATTGCATAATAGAAAATCAATATGATAATTCAACGAGTTCGAGCAGAAAAATGAAATACGAAAAACTATGGATTAGAGCAGGGCTCATTATCATTATAGGATCTCTGGGAAGCGCAAATAATAGAAAAAAAGAAAATTAATTTTTTCTTCAATTATATATATATATATATATATATATATATTATATAAATAAATATTTGTCATATTTAATTTAATTAATTAATTAATTAATTAATCAGGGTTCGGGATAATTCAATGGTAAAAGCACTCGGCTGGAAATTTGTCAGCCCAGATTCTCCCCAAACCTGTGTAAAAAGGGAGAAAGTAATAAAGACAATTAATTAATTAACATTCTAATTACCATTCATCCATTAAAAAATTTCTATAAATTTT